ACACACACACACACACACACACACACACACACACACACACACAAACGGGTGTGCATACTATTCAGATGCTTGGCAAGTGACTCCTATTTACGACGGTCGCAGTGTCCTGGGGTTATATAACCCCCTCTTGTGACCTTCTGACAAGCCAAGTCAGTGGGGGAAGCCGGATTCACTTAGCGACCGTGTGACTCACTTAAAAACCGCAATGATTCCCTTAACAACCATGGGAAGAAAGGTCGTAAAATGGGACACAGCTCACTTAACCAATGTCTCACTTAGCAACAAAAATTTGGGCTCAATTGGGGCCGTAAGTTGAGGACTACCAGTATTACCGTCGTATGTCGAGGACTGCCTATATTGCTTTATATCCGGGATCTTCAAACTTGGCCCTGTTATGACTTCTGGACTTCAACTCCCAGAATTCCTCCACCAGGCACGCTGGCTGAGGAATTCTGGGAGTTGAAGTCCACAAGCCATAACAGGACCCAGTTTGAAGACCCCTGACTTAGAGGATTGAATCTGAGGGAAATTTTTCCACCGTTTAGCTCTTCTATCTCCTTTTGGCAAGTGCTGAATGTTTGCTTGATGCTCAATTGTTCTCACGTCTCTCGTGTTTCTCTCCCTCCTAGGATTCACGAATAAAATTTTTCATCCCAACATTGACGAAGCGTAAGTGACTTTGGTTTGCATTGAAATTATATTTTATTTGAGGGGGGGAGAATGTGGTGACGTTTGGTTTTCTACATTTCTCCAGTCCCACAACAGGAGGCGAGTAAAAAAGGTAAAAGTCAGCGTTTCGCACCCTTCGGGCCTTTAAGATGGGTGGATTTCAATTCCCTCAGAATTCCCCCGGGCAGAGAATTCTGGGAGTTGAAGTCCACCCATCCTAAAGTCCCCAAAGCTGAGAAACACTGACTTAAAAGAGGTTTTAAGCACCAGTTATCTCAGGGGGTCTTCAAACTTGGCCCTTTTACGACTTGTGGACTTCAACTCCCAGAATTCCTCAGCCAGGCACACATGCCTGGCTGAGGAATTCTGGGAGTTGAAGTCCACAAGTCCTTAAAGGGCCAAGTTTGGAGACCCCTGTCTTAAATCTATCAAACAAAATGGAGGCTGGCTGAGGAATTCTGGGAGTTGAAGTCCACAAGTCCTAAAAGGGCCAAGTTTGAAGACCCCTGCTTTACATCTTCATTGCACACGGTCCAGAGTCAATTCTTGTGAGTTGGTGAGCCAAATAAATTGCATTTAGTAAGAAAGGACCCCGATTTTGGATCCGTCTCTGGACTTTGTGGGAAGTTCTCCACAGAAGCAGCTTCCCGTTTCGCCTACCTGGTCTTCCGGTTGCCGGCAACAGGAATAAGGCACCGAGCACATTTCCCGGCTGGGATTTTGGGGTGTGCAATTGAAGTACATGTTTTGGGACCAATCTTTGTAGGAGACGCCACCGCAGCAGCCGAACTACACGGAAAGGAAGGAGAGGCCGCTCGTAAACCCCTTTTTTCAGCGCCATCATGACTTCAAATAGTTGCTAAATCAATGACTGTAGGACCCCAGAAAGAGCGTAGAGAGGAGCAACAAGGATGATTAGGGGGCTGGAGGCCGAAACTTGCAAACAACGGTTGCAGGAATTGGGTATGTCTAGTCTGGGAGTTGAAGTTCACCCATCTTAAAGCATGCCGGCTAGGGAATTATAAGAGTTGAAGTTCACCCAGCTTAAAGCATGCCGGCTGGGGAATTCTGGGAGTTGAAGTCCGCCTCTCTTAAAGCATGCTGGCTGGGGAATTCTGGGAGTGGAAGTCCACAAGTCTTTACAGTTGCCAAGCTTGGAGACCCCCAAAGACCTCCAAGGTCCCTTCCAGGTGTGTGATTCTATGAAGCATCAGACTACAACAATTTGTAACAATTCATAATCACGATAAAAAAACAACCCCACCCAAGTTCCGGAGTGTCCCTCAAAGATCCAGCTTTTGACATGTCCTCTAACTCCTGGATGGTCCCACCACCAGCTCCAGTTTGAAAAGGAGGATGGGGCTCCAGCACGGACAACCTTTTGTTCATGGCCTTCTTCTGCCATTGGGCAACCCAACCAGCTGTTGGGCTTTTGAAGACCAAAGAATCTCTCGACGGTCCAACCAAACCTTACCTCCTTCTGCCCCAGATCAATCAGGTTCTGGAGGTCCAGGTCGTCTCGGTAGTACACAATCGCCTTGTTGAGCACTTCGCTCATCTTCCCCCGGGCCTGAAATAAAGGGGAGAGGATGGCTCATTTAGAAAACACCTTTTTTTGTTTGGACAAATGATATTGATATAGAATTTTACGCCGCCCCCTCCCTTAAACCACGTCTGAAAGTTTTCTCTGCAACGTGGCCAGGAAAACACGTTGGGCCCGAAGGAGAATTCTATTTACGTTCTTGCCATTTACGTCAACAAATTAATAATGCAGTATAATATTTTTATTTTCTAATGATTTCCAAATATCTTAAATTAGTAGCCAAAATTAGACGTGTATCCTGAACGTCAGCGTTCGTGAGGAATTGTGATAAAGGGAATTGGGGTCATTTATAATTTGGAAACCAACCATATTAAACGTTAAATCTAAATGTTAATGATAAATCAAAATCGGGGAAAAGTCCTTAGGTTATTGATTGTCAAAAAGATTGAGTGTTAATATAAATAAGATATATATATAAACTAAAAACTATTGAAAAAATGTAAGAAAGTTGCTTCTGTGTGATTATTAGAATAAAAATTGTGACAGCGTATATTAAGAGGAAAAGGGAGGAAATATTTACTGTATTAGGCTGAGATTTGTACTAATCATATTTGTATGTTATTGGATTATTGTAACTCAGTCGCCACGTTGCTTTTCGATTATGTAGTTGTGATATTAGAAAACCAATAAAATTTGTAATAATAATAATAATAAAAAAGAATTGACTTGTATTCTACATTAGTCGTGTTAAACTTTGTGCAGGGGGCACAACATAGTGTAACATCTGTATTGATCTGAGAACTTAAGGGAAGGTGCTCTTTCTGCAGCAGGATAGGGACTGGACAGGAGTCACAGTGGCCCAATGGTTAGAGCCCAGCAGGGTTTGTGGAAAGAAGAGGACGAAAACTTCTGGTTTGTCATCGCGGTACTGGCGGATGTAGAGAGGCGAGCTCCGTCTTCAGCGTCCAGTTTTCTCTCGCTGGGGGACCCTGGAAAGGGTCGAAAGTCGCCCTGTAGGGGCGATGAGCAAGGAGAGGACCCCCGCTTGATCGCGGGAGGACAGCAGCCCTTCCGCTTGATCCAGGGCAGCTCTTCAAACCGACGAGGATAAGACCGGCCATAGCAATATGGGTCGTCATTAAGCTGCTGACAGCCGAAGTCAAACTTACTACCAAGCACTTTGAACGCAACGCGGATGAAACTGGATGAGATCTGATCTTCTCTTTACCCTAAGTATTTTTTTTTCCTGTAAAAGCTGCCTGAAGTATCTTTCCCCCTGTGAGGAGAGAAGGAAGGGAATTTCTATCCCACCCTCTAAGAATAGCGGCGACTGGCTACCCAGGGGAATTAAAGCTCTAAAAGAAGAGGACGACAACTGCGGGGTCCCTGGTGCTCTCTGAGCTGGGTGGTTTTCTTGCAGATGTTTCATGACCCAGCTAGGTAACATCTTCAGTGCTGGGAAGGAGTGGGATTTGTTCCCAGTTTATATTCTAGCAGCTTGCCCTATCAGTGATGGTGGGAGTGGTCTTGGACCCAAAGAAACCTCCAAGACCACTATCACCAACACTGACAGGGAAGTCTACCAGCACTGATGATGGTCTCTAGTTGGGTTATGAAATGTCTGCAAAAAAGCCACCAAGCTCAGCCAGCACCGAGGACCCTTCCTCACATTCTCTGTGCCCTGAGCAGGC